CGAAGAAATAATAGCGAATTGGCAGAGGGATACAAAATTTGTGATTCAAGGTCCTTGCAGTGGGCCCATCAATAACTTAAATTTATATAGATGCATTTTTTATTTGCAAGTCAAATCAAATTTCCAGAAATATTGAAACTCAAATTAGATCGGCCTCGGTTCAATTTTGATGGTCTTTGTTGTAATTACCCATTTACATTTCAAATTAATTTATTCAAAAATTTCTGTTTACGTTCTATTTTCGGTGGTGCGTTGGAAATGTTGCACACATGCTCTTCTTGTTGGGCAACAGTGATTTTTCAGAAGTTTATTTTGATTCGTCCAGCACTTGAGCGGCTCTTTAATACCCTGCATACAATGTGTATATGGTAATCATTTATACTACAAGTAAGTGTAACATCTGGTAGGAGACATAAAAGGCGTTGTAAAGGCAAGGGGTGCCTGAGCGCACGTTTCTCGGGAATTATTAAGTCAGCAAGTTTTTATGAGTCTGAGGAAGGTCATGTAAATGGTTTTTCGATAATGGAGAAAGGGTGCTTTCCACCAGTTTGCTATTATTTGTAACTGGCGTTATTTAGTTAGTTTATCTATTCCAATACTGTACAGCACAAAATAGCAGTGATAAGTAGTGTTACTTGTGGAGCTTGTTAGGGGTATTAAGCGGATTATAGGAATCGCCCGAAGGAAAAAGCGCATTCGAATCTCTGTTCAGTTTTTGTAACACTCAGAGGGAGACGTGTATACCTTCTTCATCAGTATGACAGGAGAAGACATTATGACATAACCATTTATTTATATGAAAGAAAAAGTGTATGTTGTACCAAGTTTGAACCTTGAACCTGGACACATTGTTGCGACTGCCACGTCTCCTTCGGTGTGTTACATTCATACGCACTAAACAGGTATACGCTTTGGGCACAGGGTATTAAAATAATAAGGGAAAAAATTGTTTAATATTAAATTGAATACAATTCAGGGCAGGGCATATTAGAATCGAACTTTCGACTTGTTTTCATTTTATTATTTCCAAAAATAGACCATATTTACGCCGCAGGAGCTACTATTTAGATTTATTCGATTGCACTTTGCCATTTATTGTTCATTGCTGTTCATTTTGTTTATCTGAAGTGCCATGAGCAGATTGCAAATTTAATATTTCCGCCGCTGCCCGCCCACTTACATTTCGGTTGTTCTCTATCGCCCCCATCTCCTCTATATTTATCGATAATCATTAATATGTAATGTGCACGAAACTTTTGTGCGCAGCCAAAAAGGCCAAATTAAATGCTCGGCTAATGAATTTCGTTGAAATGAACGTCATTGTTTTTTCTTTTCCGCCAGTACTATATGAACTATTCGCCCTTATCAGCACGGCAATGCAAGCACGACTGACTTAGCTCATAAATTCGTAATGTAAAAAAGTTTTTTGGCTCGTCGAAAGTTCGCTATAAATGTTGCTTCTTCACAGTACACCATATTTCCTCTGCGTGCCAAATTCGGGCGTTAGAAAAATTGACTGCCTGCAGTTAAGTGGAAGTGACTTGAATGTCGGTTGGACCGTTGGCTTGCTTCGTTTATACATACAAGTAGATTGGAAATGTGAGCATTAGAAAAGACAATCAATATGCTAGCATATCAATCACAAAGTCCTGTGTCCGGTTGAATGTTCATTCGTATATGGCCCACTAATTGATGACCCACAGCTCGCTCCAGTATCTTTTATGCTCGAACCAATCAGTAAAATCGAGTTTGGCAATATCTTGCAGGTTACTATTTGAGGGACAAAATACTTTAATTTTCGATTGATTTTAATGGTTATTGTAATTCAATATGTAATTCCTAGCTAAGTCAGTTCATATACTGCTAAGCATTTATCTTAACTTCTTTAAATCTCTGAGAAGATCTTGCCGCCCTGTCACTCCCAATGGTTAAGTAGTCTTCCTGCGGGCACCTCAACTAGAAATTAATAATCTGTTAAGCAGCAAATTGGCCAACGCCCGTAACGGGGTCAACATCAAAAGATTGTCTTTCGCAATTTTTGAGAAGGGACTCATTAGAGCAGACTAATTTTAATTTCAAGGTATTCTCTTTGGGTGTCTGTTGCTGGTGCTGTCTAAAAAGTTTGTATTTCCAACTGGCAGTCATGAAGTTGATGTAATGAAAAGTTACTACATTTTTTCATATCACATGACAGGGTAAATAGCAAAAATTATACGGTGGGGCAATTGAGTTAAGCGGGAGCAGGCTGTAGCAATTCGAAGGTTGCGTAGAATAAAAAACACCAACAACAACAATAACAAGGGTTCCAACAACAAGCACAACAGCTGGGCGAGCGCCTAGTCATGTGCATGAGCAGTCAACCAACATGGGCGCTAATTAATTTCGAGTTTTCGTTCTAAAAGTTGCGCATACGCAGCGTAGGACGTGAGTGATGAAAAGTGGATGCAAAATTATAATAATTCTGCGTTTTATTTTCACAAAAGTATACAAATATTTTCCCGTGGCTTGCTACAAAAGTTGAAAACAAAACCAACCCGCCGGAATTAATCAAAAAGCGAAACCAGCTATTTGATTCCACCAAACGTAGCGGGGCCAACTACGTTGGTGACCCCAAACGTTTAGCATTATTTCTATGGGCTTAGTTTCAGCTGTGGCTGCAACATAATAGGCCGTCATATGAGCCGGAGGTGGGATGTGGCATTGGGCGTTCTCGTCTTTATGTCGGCGTATTACAGTTAAGTAAGTGGGGTCTCATTTAAAAATAGCTGGGGAAAATTTATTAAAATCCTAGCTGTTAGTCAACAAAGCCAGCCCACAACTTGTGCTACTCTTTGATGAAATATTTTAATGATGCATATAAAACTGCTGCGACAACAAGTGAATAAATTATTTAGGCGCAAGTTCTGCTCGCCGCTTAGTCAAACGATTTCCTTTTTTTTTTGTTGTGTGTTAACATTTTCAACACGTAGGAAATTTTATCTCTCTATTACCTGCAGGAGTGAATAGCGAGGGAAAACAAACAGAGAGATTGGTGGGCTATTGGAGCTTACATTGATTTAGGGCGCAGCCAGATTCCTAGCGAAATGTTCTACTGACAAAGGGTTCGAAGTCCAAGACAGGCCGGCGTGCGTGCTTGCGACCCGTCCTATTGCATTATATTTGCGTGAAGGTACGTACGTATGTCTAGTTGGCTTTTTGCTTATCACCTCGGCGCAGAGCAAACAAGCCCTTTGATATTTCTCGACTATTTACACAGTTGGCACGTCTAGATTTCATGCCATTCCACTTCGGCAATTTTGATCACTTGCAAGACACACACACATAGGTGTCCAAGCGATCTCAACATTTCCCTTATATAGATCATACTTGTATATGTATATATATATATATATATATATATATATATTTTATACCTAATTTTAACTTCAAATGCCTTTCAAATGACAACAATAAATGAGTCAACAATATTGTAAGAGGCAATCTGCGATTTTAAGTTAAAACTGTGACAACGATTCATCAATCCCTATGATACAGGAATTTATTTTCAACGTCGATATTCTCAAATATGAATAGATGTGAGTTCGTTTTTGTGCAGGTTCTCGGAAGCATTCTTGAAAAATGTCAAAGTTATCATCAACTTTAATAATTGTACAACCTAGGCTAATTTAAAAAAATAAAAGAAACTCGTCCTTTCTCGGACCTAGGAGAATCTGGATGCCAACTTTGGTTATTCTAGCTTTTATAGTTTCTCTCGTCATGCTGATTCAGAATATACAGGGTATAAAAAAATATATATGAAGGTATACATTTTCAAAATAATATTGTTCTCTAAGCTTATGTTAAAGTGTAAGGCAAGACAATTTTGATGCGAATACTAGCAAATCAATATAAGAAGTCCTTCAAATATAAACGGGCATAAGAGTAAGGAAATAATATTTAGTTAGTCTTAAGTATTTCAATATTTTTCATAAAATAATGCAAAATTGGAGCTTTCACGGTTTTCTCAATACAAACGTTTTTAGAAAAGGCGGCATAGGTTTCGATGTTTGTATTAAATAGCTTTAATGTAGTTCTCTGGTTTTCAAAACATTTGATAAGTTCGAATCTTCGCTAACTCAGAGCGAGCATTCCTAAGTAGTAGCTTCTTTTCATGAAGAATTATTCATGCATTTACAATCGACGATATGCATTTCAATTAGGCAGGAATCGTCATACAATACCTCCTGTCCAGTATAGCCTCGAATTGCTATTGTGCGACCAGACAATGTCACTCAAGCTGCTTCTTCGACATATTCGTATTATATTATAACTTTCTCTTCGCTAGCAATGCGATTTTTAGCAATCACAATTCTCGCATGTACGAGTACGTATGTTTACTTTACAAAAGAATAGGAATGATAGCCACGCGCTAAATCCCTTAACAATTTTAAGATGCATTGTTTGCTATTTCATATCTGCATTTGGATGTGTGAGTGCAAATATGTTTGAAAAACAAATGTGTCGCAGCTTGTTGTCCCTGTGTCAGCATTAATATTCAGATTCCTTGTGTATAATTGAGTGTTCTCGGGAATTCATTGGCAGATTAATAACATATGTACAAGTATATGTAAGATTAATTTATCATTCATTGCCCTTTCCGTAAATTAGTTACTTTGCCAGGCAAAAGTATTAGTTCTGCAAATCTGCTTGGAACAGGGAGTGGGCTTATCGAGGTAAATGGCTAAAATAATTCGCAACAGAGATAACGCAGGAACGAGCTAAAGTTGTTAATATAATTAGATAAAAGCGATCACATATTTGTTTATTTAGAAACTTTAGAACCTCAAGTGTGCACAGACATTTCGATATGTAGGAGTTTGTAGGAACCTTCTAAAAACTTCAACGATTTATTAGCAGGACTATTTAACATTTCTTGCTAATAAGTATGCGTTTAAAATTGTTTGTGGAATATTTTCAGCAAATTCTAGCAAACTGCCAAATTATTTAAGAATGATATTCACATTTGTATTTTTTTTTTTATGTTTCCGTTGTCTGGATCTAAGTTTATGGACTGAACTTGACTTAATGCAGCTGCTGTAGTTCAAGGATTGCGAACGAAATTCGTGAAAGCGCGACGTGTCTGCGTAGACATACGAGTGTGAACCGAAAAATTATTCGAAAAATATGCAAACTATAAACACAGAAGTGTGCAAAAGCGGTTCAAATCAGCGCGAAAAGGCGGCAATGCCTCAGGCGTGTGTTCTGGATTTGCAGGGCGTTGTAAAGAGCTATACGAGTTGGACGTGCAGGAGGCGCTAACGGTAAAGCGCGCGTCTCACGATTAGCAAAGGCGGATGTTCACTCGAATTCAAATGCGACTCTCGACTCGAAATGGCGTGCCTGCTGAAGCTGCAGCGGTGTTGGCTTTCAAGCGACTGGTGTGCACGGCCGACTGTATTCGACTGAAAGCGTTCGGGCACTGGAACGCCATATAAACAGCAATGTCTGGCGAGCAGATGTTCTCTCTGAGAGCACGAAAATGCCACGACTCCTTCGCAGTGGCAGTGGCAGTGGCGGTGCAGAGCTTTCAACGAGCAAACCCATTTGAATTTGTGGCGGTCTTGGACGCACTTTGCACACACATATCCAATAAATCTTAAACAAATCAAATTGAATTTATGATTTTCCTCTCTTTCCTTTTCTTCTTTTCTGTTCTTTTATTCCTTTTTGTATTTTTTGTGCTCCTCAGGCTGGCTCTAAGTTGTTTGCTTTGCGTTTACGTTGTGATTCCACCTCTGTCCCTTGCACAATGGGTCGGGTCGTTGATTTTATTTGCTAAAGTGCTGCGCCGGTTTTTCATTATGGCCCTGTGGAGGCTTAATCATTCGCCAAGGCGACGCAGCCCACCACTTGACACGGTGGCAACTGACAGGTGATATTTGGCACCCTCGGTGGACTGGCATCTTGCGTACGGGGGGAGAGTTGTTTGGTTTTGGCTTTGGCTTGACTGGGTCGTCGCCTGTTGTTAGCCTGCAGACATATTAATTTTGTGCCTCCTCCACTCGAGCTTAGCTTGGCGTTCATTATGTGCAAATTTATTTGCGAAATTGTTGTTGATAATTGCAGGGAATTTTGCCTCCAAGTGCCTGCCATTTCCATCATTTAAATCAGTTTGTTGATTATGGTCGCGCAACTTTAATTTAAATTGCATGCACAACTTTCGTTTTAATTTTCTATTTGATTTAATTTGTGAAAATCCTATTAGAAGCATATCAATCCAAGTAGACAAAGGTCTCGACATTGACGATGTGCTCATTGGCGGGCTCACTGCTTGAGGGATGTGTGCGTGACAAGATTTTCGAGTACGGAACTTGTCTTCCTTAGCTAAAATTTCTTTTTTTTTTGTACTGTACCATTTACAACGCTATTCTCGTGTAAGTGCTTTTTATTTTAGTTGGTCACTTGCCTTTATAAGTCTCTGTACAACTGTAAGGCTTGCTAAGACTTTCTTTCCTCACGAATCTTACTCATGGACAACAGCTATTTGAACCAGCGATGGCTGATAAGCCGTCATCTTCATTTGTGAGCGCAGGCGCGAGCTTTGAGAGAGCGCCAGAACGCTTACTGGAATCTCCGTTAACGGCAATGGCTATTCCCCTAACTGATAAGAACGCAATTTGGCTGGCAGCTGCTGGTGCTGGTGCGGCTGCTGCTCTGCCGGCCGTTACAATTGTCCTTAGTTTATGGAGGATGGAAGAATGAAGAAGGGAGGACATTTAACGAATTGTCATTGATTTCTTTTGAAACTGTGTAGTCATTGTTTGCCTTGCTTCTGCCACATTAGGCAGCTGAGTCGAAGTCGACAATGCTGATGCTGCTTCTGCTGCCGCTTATGCCGCTGTCTTTGGTGATTGCAACCTGTGGCGGCTTATCTCAGGCTGTCGAGCTTGAATTGAGTTCACTTTTCAGTTCAACCTACAGCCAGCAGCTCGGCACGCTAATGGGCAGCAACTCGCAAAATTGTCTTAAATAATTTGGTGCGTTTTTAATTAATAAGTTTTTGCAACAAAAACAACAGCGTCCCTTTTACCAATTTTTGAATAGGTCAGCCTTTTGTATTTCAGCTGCTCAGCAGCGCACAAGGAACGCGCCTTGCAATCCGCCTTTTCAATAGGGCCACTTGACCCAACATTATGATAATTTCGCCTTTTTCACAAAAGAAATGCTAACAGTTTTAGACGCCCAGTCACCAATAGTAGATCATTAAATTTGTCCCTTTTGGAAAAGGATGGCAACAGCCGCTTGTAAACGTAAGGATTAATTTGCGGTTGTGGTGGTGAAGAGAGTTATAATTTTCAAGCGTATTAGGTGTGGGCCATTTTAAGAGCTTTAATTTGGCCCAATGGAATGCAGGACAGCTAAACAGCTACTCTAAGTGTTCAAATCTGTAAATCAGATACTGCGATACCCTCATTGAGCTGATTCCATACCAGTTAGTTCATAGTATAAGGTGTGCTGTCTTGCAGGCCAGTCTTAAGTGATAGTCACAGTAGATTAGGTCCTGTATTTTGACGATGTTAGGTCCAATAGGACCAACTACCTTATTTGCGAACTTATAGTGTATATATGTATAAATACATGTATTTATATCTTCCACTACATAATTTGTAACACCAAAAAGAAAAGAAAGAAAAGAATGGTACTGAGAATATTTCAAATTGCCTCGAAAAAGAAACTTGTCTTTTCTCGGTCTTAGAATATTTCGAATCACAAATTCGGTTATTCTAGCTTTTACACTTTTCAAGATATTTGCGTTCATATAGACGCATAGCAGAATATACTATATACATATTCCTTATATAAGTACCCTAACATATACTTATATACTCGTATATTTGCACGTCATTAGTGCGCCCCAAATTAAATGGTATGCTAGCTTACTGCATTAGGTTTCCATTCTTCTTTCTAAATTATTAAGTGTTTTGTATTCGGAATAGTAAGGAATACGAAAACATTAAATGCTGAAATAAAATGAATTCAATAATTCAATTCAATAATAACTGCTTGTATGCAATAATCAATTTCAACAAGCAAACAAACTAGCTGAGTCAGCGCTGAGAAACAAGGGCAATATTTGGGTCGGTGAATGCCAATAGTTGCCGTAGTGGCTTCGACTTGGCATTAATTATTGGAGAGTGCAAGATTGAGGAATTGTTCTAGCGAGCAGACTCACCTGCATAGAATAAAGGCAGCAGATTGAAGATGATAATAAGCGGAAGTATAGCGCGAGCAAGTTTTTGCATATCCATGAAAAGGCTGGCAGTTTTGGACCTGGAAGTAGCAGCCAGAGGGACATCAGGAGCAGACGTCGTCGATGGCCAAGTGGGGGCGCAGTGTTGATAGAATTTTCGTTGTTTTGTTGTAATTGCAGTTGCAGTTTTTGCTGTTGCTGTTGCTGTTGGCAATAATGTTGCAGCAACAGTGACGGGGCCGTGGATTTTGGAAGATAAACGTGATTGTATTGCAGGCTCGTAGTATGCCTTTGTTTTTGCTGTTGTAGCAGTGTCTTTGCTGTTGTGGTTGTGGTTGTAGTTTTGTCTGCAGGTATCAGCCTGCTTAGAAATCCCTGTAAGAGCAGCGGCAGCCACATCAGAAGCAAAAGGGGCGCACCCAGAGCTGTTGTTGTCATCGCTATTATTATAATCATCATCATCACCATAAGCATCCCTTTCCCCATCACAAATCTTATTAGCACCATGTGAACTTGACCGCCAGCGCGCGTCTGCGATAGGATATTGCTTCTGTGCCCGTGCTTCGTTAGTACCAACGTGCAACATTTTGTTGCTGCTGTCGTCGCTGTTGCTGTTGGTGTCAGCGTTATGTATTGTCCATAGCCAGTTTGACGCACCTTTTTGACTTCCGTTCGTTTGTACATCATCTGCTCCTCTGCTTGTTGTTGCCGTTGCTGTTCCTGTTGCTGTTGCTGTTCCTGTCGCTGCTGACGTAGCTTCTTTTCCTGCCTCGACTGTTGCAGATGTCGACTCGTAGGACCATGCTGCTGCTTCCAATTTTCTTTGTGCTGGGTATTGCGTTGACGGCTTTCGGCACAGAAACGGTTCACTTTCAAATTGCTTCCGTTTAGTTGAGAGCTTGCTGCAGTTGTCGTCGTCAACGTAGTGTTGTTGCGAAAGTTGGCGTGTTGTTGTGTTTGTTGAAGAAATAGACTTATTTGTGATTGTTGCTGTTGTTGTGGTGTTATAGAAATGTCGTATCTGTGCTGAGGCCATGTTGTGCCCTAGAAAATAAAGGAAGTGAACTGTAATGTGTGAAGTGCTAACATTCAAAGAGTCTATAATCCAAGTCCGACCCACACTCATCCACACATTCAGGCACACATATGTACAAACGCACGGAGAGCCTTTCCTTCGGCAACACGCTTGATATGTGAGTAGTAAACAGAAAAGAACAAAAAAGAAAGAGATCCGGGGGCAACCTGCTTAAAATTAATACTAGCATTAAACCATAGCTATGACGTAATCGTGCTTATCATCGTGGCTGAACTAAGCTTATCCTATCTTCATTATAGAAACTATTTAATAGTTGAATATATTTAATGACAAAGTCCTTATAGCTTATGGATAGATAAGCCTCATCACAAGACTGTACAAAATTATTTCAAAATGTGCTCGAAGACTGTGTGGAAAATAAAATTTTAGACAACAGTTCTATAAAAGAAGGAGTAGAATACTCTAAATTACAACATTTGAGAGCATCCACAAAATGATTTAATTCAAAGCAGGACTTCAATGAATATTTGAATTTTGTAAAACTAGCGAAGTCTACATGTTTGTGGCTTTACTGTACACGCCAATTTCATGGCAATATTTTGATGATTCGGTTGGGGAACGTAAGTGAGCATTGATCAATGGTAGGTGGATGGCTGCAAACTGTTTCAGCTGTTCCTTTTCCCTATTGATTCCACTTAGTTCGGTCCTTTGATCCCGCCCACTTGCACCCTCGTGACTGGCCAGTGCCTTTGCATGCGTTTTCGGATTACATGCCGCCAATTTTGTGCACAAACGGAAAAAATTGTGTATTTAGGTTGTCTTTTGGGCTGCTTTTTAATCAATTTTGCCTTTAAAAAAAGGCTTGTGGGCCAGCAGAACATGGCCAGCGGGCAGTCCCTTGCCTTTTACAGTTTTTTATACCATTTGTTGTTGTAGTCATTGTCGTTGCTATCCCAAATGAGGGTCAGTTTTATTTGCAATTTCCGTGCTAGCTTAATTTATATTTAAAGCTACTTTAGTAGCATTGGTGGATATATAACTGTGGTGTTCATGTTTGATGCGCAAAACTAAAACGGATCAAAAGTATGGCGTAGTATTGGATTTCATTGTCAACTAATATGCATAATAGTTTTTCCTTTTTGTTGTTGCATAAATTATATTTAGACCTCTTTTGAAGCTCCACCATCGTAGCCTGATAAATAAACTATGCGTCCCATCTTACAACAATAGGTACGTATTTGAATATTTTTATACCCTGTACCCGTAGGGTAAAAAGGGTATATTAGGTTTGTGCAAAGTATGTAACATGCAGAAGGAAGCATCTCCGACCCCATAAAGAATATATATTCTGAATCAGCATGACGAGAGAAATCGATCTAGACATGTCCGTCCGTCCGTCCGTCTGAATGAACGCGAGGATCTCAGAAACTATAAAAGCTAGAACATCCAGATTCTCCTAGGTCCGAGAAAGGACGAGTTTATTTTATTTTTTGGAATTTTCCCCCCCTTCCCCCGCTACAGAATTTCGTCAATAGCGTCCACATTTCAAATGCTACCTAAACCAAACTTTGCACACATAATTTATATATATGTCTACTGTTGTTCAAAATTTTATTCAATTCGGTCAATTCTAAGAAAAGTTATTAGCGAAACAAATTCTCGCCAGTACAACCCCCCCAAACTGCAGCAACAAGTTCGCTCTTCTTCTTCCTCTTTTTGTTGCTGCTATGGGCGCATATAACTCAGTGACGGAAGTTTACCTGGGTACAGGGTATTACACTGTCGGGCTTGCTCGACTGCAGCGTTCTCTCTTGTTTTGTATTTATGCTAAAACATTTTGGAGATTCTGAAAGCTTTTTCATGTGAACTTTTAGCCAATACCCAGACGTGCAAGCTAGTGTCGGAAAAGCTTTTGTAAAATGTAACTTTACAGAAAGCGAGGAAAAGCTTTTGCGATTACAATGTAAGGTTACATTTTCTGCTGCTGCTAAGTAAACGACAGAAGTCTACAATTAACCATTTACATTTACAATGTTAGCTAACATTTTTTGCTTCTGCTATGTAAACAACACAAGCCTACAATAAACCATTTACATGTACACTGTAAGCTGACATTTTTTGCTTCTCCTATGAAAACAACAGGACCCTACAACTAACCTAGAACCCAAATACTTCTTAAATAGGTGTATTCTACCCTAGACCAGTGCATTTGATGCTAACATTTTGGCCGTAGAAAGACCGAAATGCATGCATTAGGGACAGGAGGATGGATGGATACAAAAATACGTTTTACTCACTAAATTGCGATTGTCCCTAATTGTACTTGAAATTGCAGCAATGTGGAATACGAAAAACACAGTAAGAATAATAATGTAGGAGGACGAGACGCTTAGCCACATGCGATATGCAGGCGCGGTGGGAAACCTGAGTGGACGGAACGCCCACACGTAACTAGCAGTGGCCAACTGGCCCATAAAATGCTCGTGGTCGACGAAAAAGTCCAGCGCACGCACACCTATGCATACAGCTAGGCCACATGTAAATATAGTTAACGCAGTGCGAGTGGCGTATGCCAGTGAGGCCATTCAGAATTTGCCAACCGCTCAGTTTTTGGGACTTTATTTTGCTCATTTGTTTGTTTGCTTATTTTTGTCTGCAATGCTGCTGCAACACAAAATGTCATCAAGTGAACACACGTAAGCAGGTGAATGGTGCCAACAGACGTGCTGTGCGCTGATCTGTGAGTTTGTGTGGCAGTATGTGAGTGTGTGTGTGTGTGTGGTAAAAGGATGGTCTCAATGTCTGCGACCGATGCGTATTACATCTCAACCCTGCCCATTCATTTGGGCTGCTAGCACACATACACATGTGTGTATGTGTGTGTACGTAATTACAAACACACATGCGAAAATGTGCTCTACTGAATAATTGAAGCAATAACATCTGCTTGGAGTGGCAACTAGCGTGTAGCGCATTTGTCGCTCGCTGTGATGTCCTGCACAAATTTGTTGCCACATAATTGGAAAATATTCGCTGCACTCTGACAAACCCACATGCACACACATTTTGTCTACACAGCCAGCGATATACACACAATAATTGTAATTGTAGATGCCAAAATATTATGACGCACTATTTCACCTTAAAATGGATCTGTGTTGGATTTGTCGAAGTTTTTTCATTGATCATATGCATAATTTATTTTTTAAATGCATCATGCATTATATAATCAAAATTGTAAATTTTTGGCCTCCCTTTGGTAAAAGCTGCCTGCGCCCTTGCTATTTATACATTGCCTATAAGATAAATTTAGTTTCCGCTTTTACAAAAATAAATCCTGATATCATTACGCTTCTCCAACACGTCTATATTTTTATACCCTGTACCCGTAGGGTAAAAAGGGTATATTAGGTTTGTGCAAAGTATGTAACATGCAGAAGGAAGCATCTCCGACCCCATAAAGTATATATATTCTGAATCAGCATGACGAGAGAAATCGATCTAGACATGTCCGTCCGTCCGTCCGTCCGTCTGAATAAACGCGAGGATCTCAGAAACTATAAAAGCTAGAATAACCAAAGTTGGCATCCAGATTCTCCTAGGTCCGAGAAAGGACGAGTTTATTTTATTTTTTGGAATTTTCCCCCCCTTCCCCCGCTACAGAATTTCGTCAATAGCGTCCACATTTCAAATGCTACCTAAACCAAACTTTGCACACATAATTTATATATAATTGTCTACTGTTGTTCAATTTTATTCAATTCGGTCAATTCTAAGAAAAGTTATTAGCGAAACAAATTCTCGCCAGTACAACCTCCCCAAACTGCAGCAACAAGTTCGCTCTTCTTCCTCCTCTTTTTGCTGCTGCTATGGGCGAATATAACTCAGTGACGGAAGTTTACCTGAGTACAGGGTATTACACTGTCGGGCTTGTTCGACTGTAGCGTTCTCTCTTGTTTTCTGTTATGCATATGTTAGGATTCAATTTTGGATCTTGTATTTGGCTTGGATTCGAAATAATTGTTTTTTTTTTGAGCGTACATAGTTTTAATTGCAAACATTTTGCCCAGAAGAAATTTGATGAAGAGCGTGGCAGAAGTAATCGTATCAATTTATTTGTGAGTTTTTGAGAAGAGAGAAAAGTTTTACAGAAGTAAAAGTCCGTCCAACAGAAAATAATATGTTTGCAAGAAATGGATTAGCGCCATTGACAAGACTAATTATAGATTTATGTTTTAAGAGATATTCGGCGTCAGGCTTGAATAAAATGAGTTCCCAAGAAAAATCGTCTATAATCATACAATTGTTTATCGGTTTAGTTTAAGAAGAGTATTTAAAAAGATATTGTAATTGAAAAATTCTAAAAAGTCATCATGGTGGCTCAGACCTTTAAAATTGATCTCAACACTATTTTTGGGGCCGGTTTTTGTGGTCTATATTTACCCTTTTCTATTGCTGATATTTGAGGAAGGATTTACATTTTGCCCAAACAGAAACTTTGCAAAAAGCCTAGATATCTGACTAATTATACTACATACTAAGGATACATCTGACTTAAAACAACCTCTGTTGCATCTCCGCTTCCATTTGGCCATTTTAGCCTAGAGGGCACAATAACAGCATAAGCGGCATTGGCCAAAACGACCCCACAACGGCGGCGACGAAAAAAAAATGGAAATGGAATTTGTTTTGTCATTTTTAATGTTTGCCGTGTGTGTTAGCGCGCCACGTTTGTGTTCGTTTATGTGCATGCACACACACACAGAGAGCAAAGGTACATATTTGTATGAATGTAGGTGTGTGCTTGTGCTCTTGTTTTCCTAGGCAATGCACGGTTCTGTGTGGCTGTGGATGTAGGTCTATTTTTGATGAGTTGGCGAATTGCGGTTGCGTTGCTTGGTTGGCTGCTCTTCACACTTTTTATGCTGCGGTTACTTTTTGCAATTAGTTTTTATGTAACGCATTTGTTGCATTTCACACACACACACACACACACCCTTACACAAACGCCATGTGTATATATTGATTGTTGCTGTGATTGCGCTCTGACCAACGGTGGCTGTAATTGTGGCCTGCGAATCGGGCCCGACCGTTCCATTTGCATCAGTTTAACGAGCGCACTCGCCTGTGTATGCAATGGAAATTTTGAATGTGGAATTATTGCACCACGCCACAAATTTAAGCTTAATGTATAATCCACAACTAAGCAGCACTCTGGCATGCTGGCAAAAAAGAAATAAGCCGCAGCCAATTAGAAGCAACTAAAGCGCAGTTGCCGCAACTACAAATGCAGTGCTGCCGCTAAGGATGTGTTTCGAGTATGGTGCAGGGAGGTGGATAGCTGGCGAGCAAGCCGTTTCAAAGCAAACGCTAAAATAAACGGGGAGAGGAAGAACACTTTGAGGGAGCGACAAAAAACTTTTCCATTAATGGCTGCTGAAACTAATGACTACAAGAGGCAACCGCGCCAACACTCGAGTGCAAATTGTGTGCCAGTAAATGGACATGGATTCTGGATTCTGCAGACAAGAACACAGCTAGCTGGCCAATTAATCTGTTTGGTTGCACCATTTTAACTTTAATAGTGTTCGCCTTCTACTTCTTACTTCCCAAAGTCCTGAAAACCAAATTTCCATATCCATAAATATTGGAAAAAAATTGAAATTACATTTGTGCTAATAAGAATAAACTCTTTTTTAAGTTGTATTTGTATTTATCTGTAAGTTTAATTTAAGTTATTAAAATATTAACAGCACTTTAATTAAAGTGTATATATCAGATGAAAAACATCCATAACAAAATTAAGTTACATTTGTGTTACCTTCCCTGAAAAGTGTAAAGGTACTTGTACATATATTATTTTTGTGCCCTTAACTGTAACTTTTTTACCCTTGCAATGTACTTCTATCGCTTTTAATTACATTAAATTGCTTGCAAGACTGTTTGTTATATCAACAAGGTTAAAATTATATAATAAGCTTCCAAAGAAACAAGCCGACGAACAAGTCGAGACAAATCGAACTTTTCAGCTTTAACAACTGGGGACATCAGGCTTTTCCAATGCATACGGAGAGCAAGTTTAATAAAAGTTTATAACAACCTACAAAGTAGCCATCTTACTTGTAAGCTAGTCTGGTATTTATGACTTTAATCTTTCGCTAATGAAATTCTGGAAAATCGATGCACTATATTATATGGCTGGCATTTTTTAAGAAGGAAACTGTAAGATTTAAACCAGAATATCTAGTTTTACTTTGCAAACAGTGAAAATAATTGTTCGAGGAAAGAGGTATATTGCATTTTCCCTCCGTTAAAAAGACGACTTCACCTAACTACAATAAATACTTCGCTTTGTAAAAACCTTGCCTTTTATTTAAAAATCATTTAAATTGACTCTGTGTGTCACATTGGGAGCAGGGAATAGCAGCTTAAGTTGTCTCTCTAAGAGGCTTAAAAGCAAAAAATGATTATGTATCAGCTTAGAAGAGTTTATTAGTCATGTCAATATTTAGAGCACTATACAAGTTTAATTCAAATTGAGTTGATTGTTAAATTTAAGCCAGAAAGAGAATTTGTGTATCAGAGTGTGGGCTATATCAGCCATATTACCGTTGATGCTGTCTACAGTATTAAAACTAACCGAGCTTGAAACGACACCCACATGCCAACATTGAAAGCATAAAAGCCAGTCAACGCGTTGACAACAGTGCGTATGCGTGTTAAGCGAGTGCATCGTTTGCACTCTTTAAATTTTCGTTTTGTTAAGCTTTTATTTCGTTTCCGCCATGCAAGTGTGCCAACTATTTGGCTGCCATAAATTTTGCATTTTTACCTTTCCCGTTTTTGTTTGGCGTCGTCATTTTGTTGCAAGTGTAATGCAACCGCATCGCACTATATGTGAGGGTGGCCGGGTAGAGGGCTGGTGGTAGACTATAGCCTTTATGGTGTGCAAAATACAAAATGCAAAATGTTGGAGCCAACGCACAACTTCATCATCGTTTACATGCGCAACGTCATCCGCACGGCAGGGAGTGGAAATTAGCGTCGGCATACATACCCATATACATACTCGTGCATAGTATATAGTTGTAAGCTGATGTGTGTGTTGCTGTTGGTGCAGGGCTTGTGACAAATGGTAATTTAAATTTGACTTTTGTTGTCATAGGAAGCTTAAATTGCCATGTGTGTCTGTGACTGGAGGAGTGTGTCGAGTGCGTCGAGTGTGTGGAATGTGTAGAGCCAAAAAGGCATTGTGCGCTCATTATGATTAAAAATAATTTGTAGTTTTTAATTAGAAAACTTAGCACAGCTGGCTGGCATGTGCGAGGTTGTGGGACACTTGAAGCCCGTCGTTATGCAATGCACATTTCACAAATTCTAAATACTTTCATAAATATGCAATGCGTTTGCTAATAGTTCGGGGCATATGTGGCGTATGCTTAATGCATGAGCTCTGCGTTTTGCGGCGCTCTGGCTACGTGTGAATGTGAGTAAGTCTTTGTGTATGTGTATGTGTGCGTGTGTGTGAGTGTGGATTGCATGTTTTGTTAGCACAGTTGCTGGAGCGGTGCATATCATAAAGTGTTTGCAGCTCGAAAGTACTTTCTTTGTTTGCCCTCGAGACGGCTGAGAGCGCATGCAATATTTTACTTTTCCCATTAATATTTGCTAAAAAAAGACAAAAATTATAATAGCACACACATAAAGTTATGCAGGAACAAAATGAGAATCTCAAAAATACATTCGTTTTTAATATACTAGTAGATAGTGTGCAATAACTTTCTGCAATTTTAAACTAAACCTCTCTATTATGCAATGAATGCATATCTAAAGCGAAAGTGCAATTTTAAGGCTGCCAAGTAGTAGAAAAATGTATGCTTCTGTATTTAAATGTTATTTCATATATGTATATATTTTATAATTGTACTACCCCACATTCCTCACATTCCCCAACATTCTCCTTTTGCATATTACAATAATTCTATATTTCTAAATAACATACTCGTATTTATAGGCACAACATCCCAGAAAAGTTGGAGAGAAGACGCAAAGTTCTAGAGAAGCTTATAATAAATCAATAATTATAGATGAGAGTTTTTTCTGTTCACTCTTCTTATCATTCATAATAATATTTATACTTAATGTACAATAGTTTTTTTTAACTCACCATATCGTCTGCATTTAGAGCGTTAGGGTACAACACGTCCTAATCACGGCAGTTATGAAGTTTCTGAAAAATAAATAGTAGATGTCCATAATTAATTTTGAAATATTTTTTTGTTGTTAGGAATCTTCAGTAAAGCTTATTTTGCACTCAATAAAAGGTGTAACAGACAACAAAAAGGATCAACAATCTGCATACCAATACTATATATTCGTCTGCCAGTAGGAACACAACGATCTCTGAAAGTATGAGACCTGAGACTACCACCAAGTTGTAAGTATGTTCTTCAAATTCCGGGACAAAATGAGTTGGTTTTCTTTTTACCTTTTCAAAGATTTTCATTTGTTTTGTAAATTGATTGTAATACTGTTCATAGAGCTAAAAAATACTGCCATCATCACGTTATGGCAAGTTTGAAACGTCTGACGAAGTCAACTCAAGAAATGATTTTCTGCTTTCGCGTAGAACCTATCGAAATGGTTGAGAAGAAAGAACTGGTCCACCACCAAATCGAGACAGCACATGCTTCCTTTAGTCAGTGTAAAGTTAATATTTTATAAGAGACGCTGCTGTAAATACACTAAAAGCCTTGTTCTCTTCCCACAGTAACCTGTAAAACTTTCTGGGGATATACTAGTAGCAAACAACAGGGAGTCACTTGCAACGAAAACAACAACAAAAACTCAACTGATGTCACTCAAAAGAAAAGTTGTTGCAGCTTGAGTCCGACTTCAGTTTAACTTTTGGTTTGTGGGTGTGTGTGTGTCTGTTTCATCTCTGGATATACATATAGTATGTGTATGTGAATGCGATGCAAATGCTCGCACAGAACCAGAACTGTATAAGGGCGTGTCAAATGATTCGGAGCTCGCAAACAAAACAAAGGAAGAGCAGCTCGGGCTGAAGTAAATAAAAACTTGCGTTAAATCAATTTCAATGTAAGGAAAATTAAATGGCGTCTGCAACTTGTGAAATAGATAAAAATGCCAAGCCATGTTGTGTCTGTGTGGGCGGTGGGAACGGTTGAAGGAACGGTTGGAGGAACGGTTGGAGGAACGGTTGGAGGAACGGTTGGAGGAACGGTTGACTGCGTCGGCTGGGGGCAAAGCCACAAACAAATTGTAAAAATGTTGCGTATATCGAGGTAAACAGGCTGACAGCCAAGGGGGGTTGGGGTACTGCCAGGACGGGCTGGGCCGGGACAAGACAAGACACGACAGGACAGTGAAAGGCGTGCAGACAGCTGCTGTTGCGCTTTGGCTATTGGCAGCGCTTTGAGCAAAGTCCCAGAGCAATTTATCATTTCTATGTTTAAAATTTATTACATTTATTTTGCTTGCTTTTCACTTTTTAACTGTTTTTCTTGCGCCATTTCATTGTTGTGCGTGTGTATGTGTGTATATGCGTATATGTATGTGTAAAGTATGTGGGTATAATATAACGCTTTCTTTTCCCAAGTTGCACAAACAGAGGCAACACTTTAATCACAAGTTAAGTGGAAAAACAAAGAAACCAAAAAGTCGCTAAAACAGATGCCATATTGTTTCTAAAAATTTGGGATTTTGTCTTTCGGTATTAAAGCGATATGGAAAAGATTTGGTAAAAATGATGTGAAATATCATAATTCATGTTTATAAAAGTATTGAAGACATATTGGATGTTGAACAACATAAGTTATTAATGTTATTAAATATAAATTCAATTAGAATTAAATTTAATTCGTTTACTTTGTGTAGATGCTTATAATCAATGTATACATTTTTAAGGCTTATTAGTTCTTTCATTAATTCAATTCAGTTTTCGAATTTATGTCCTTTTCAAAGGTTTTTCTAACCACTTAATATGGTTAAATTAATATTTTAACTATAAATCTTTATTAAACATATGTATACTCTCTGAAGGCTTCAGATTTTAAGTAAAAAGGGTATGTAGATATGATAATATGTACTTGTATTTATTTATGTGTTGATAGATATGACTGCACACAATTTTTTTGTTCACAACATAGTCTGGGTGCACCTATTCATGTGATCAGCATTGTCAACTGTGAGAACGACCGTATCTGGCAGCTGCCTGCTGCCTTTAGACGCTCTCATAATTGAATTTATTGCTGGAGCAATATTCATCAACGTCAAGAGCCTGGAGAGTGCTCTGTCGTCTGTTCCCATGAAGCGTTACTTTAAAAATGTTAAGCATTCGAAAGTGGAAGTGTCGAAGATAATGTATGTAATGCATTGTTGACACTGCTTGGCTAGGGTCTGGTAATTGAAATAGTTTCAGAACTACCAGTGCCACATTCCTCTCCCCAGTAGCGGGCCTAATTGCTTTCGATATCAATTTTCCAGCCAATTTTTGTGCCAGCTTTGGCCGCCGCTGCAATGAAATCCGATTGGAATGCTTTGTTTTTGCCCAAAACGAGAAATGAAATTGTTTACAAATTTCGTAATTGCCGTTACTGTGGTTGTTTCGCTGCCGGCCCAAAGCCCAATGCCAAACGTGCAGTCGCGATGCTGCCAAAAGCTGTGTGCAGCTAGATATTTTGATTTTCATTCTGTTTTTTTTCCTGCAGCTTCCGTTTTTGGCATCGCCTGCAATATTGATGATAGACCTGGCTGCCCATGAAATATGCAAATGACGCAGCGGCAATGACCAACATGAATCGCCGCGCCTCTCATTAACAATGTATCAATGAATTGCAATGTAAAATACGGTCATATGCGAAATCGTATATAACCATTATTCTGTGGCATTTTGCAGATTTATTCGCAGTTTGGGCAAAGTGCAGATTTAAACTCATAAATCCGCTCATTGCTTAGAAGCTAAAAACTAAAAACTCCATTTTCTACATTTACAATTTAAACAAGAGAGAACGCTACAGTCGAGCAAGCCCGACAGTGTAATACCCTGTACCCAGGTAAACTTCCGTCACTGAGTTATATGCGCCCATAGCAGCAGCAAAAAGAGGAAGAAGAAGAGCGAACTTGTTGCTGCAGTTTGGAGGGGTTGTACTGGCGAGAATTTGTTTCGCTAATAACTTTTCTTAGAATTGACCGAATTGAATAAAAAGACAATTATATATAAATTATGTGTGCAAAGTTTGGTTTAGGTAGCATTTGAAATGTAGACGCTATTGACGAAATTCTGTAGCGGGGGAAGGGGGGGAAAATTCCAAAAAATAAAATAAACTCGTCCTTACTCGGACCTAGGAGAATCTGGATGCCAACTTTGGTTATTCTAGCTTTTAAAGTTTCTGAGATCCTCGCGTTCATCCAGACGGACGGACGGACGGACATGTCTAGATCGATTCGTCTCATCATGCTGATCAAAAATATATATACTTTATGGGGTCGGAGATGCCTCCTTCTGTATGTTACATACTTTGCACAAACCTAAAATACCCTTTTTACCCTACGGGTACAGGGTATAAAAATCATTTTTCATGATTCATGATTTAAGGGAAAAGAACGGTTGGGAAATTTAGGCCCCACGTGGGGTAAATTTGCGATCAGAAATCGGAAAGAATGTGGACCAATTAACCAAAACAACAATGGAAATAACTTCTGATTCAATATTTGGCGAGGATATCAATATGAAGTTTAGAAATCCCTATTAGAAAACTTTTTTCAAAGTTTCAGAAAGCTAACCAAAAACTTGTTATTCAAAATATTTTACCACTAAAGCTAATGTGATGAAAAACTTATGCTATGTTACAAGTATGTTTCCTTAAACCTCAAATCTCTTCTCTTTTGTCCAAATTGGCAATATGCTGTTGTTATTTTAGACGTTTAAGGAAAGGTCTATTCAATATTTAAGCAGCTAGACAAAGGCCTAATCATCCTTTCGTTAAGAACCAAATTTAGGGATATTAGACAGCAAATTTGATTCAATTTGCGGTTTCAATTAAGCTTAGAACATTGAGTTTTAAAAACAACAAGAGAGAACGCTACAGTCGAGCAAGCCCGACAGTGTAATACCCTGTACCCAGGTAAACTTCCGTCACTGAGTTATATGCGCCCATAGCAGCAGCAAAAAGAGGAAGAAGAAGAGCGAACTTGTTGCTGCAGTTTGGAGGGGTTGTACTGGCGAGAATTTGTTTTGCTAATAACTTTTCTTAGAATAACTTTTCTTATGACCGAATTGAATAAAATTGTGAACAACAATAGACAATTATATATTAATTATGTGTGCAAAGTTTGGTTTAGGTAGCATTTGAAATGTGGACGCTATTGACGAAATTCTGTAGCGGAGGAAGGGGGGGGAAAATTAAAAAAAATAAAATAAACTCGTCCTTACTCGGACCTAGGAGAATCTGGATACCAACTTTGGTTATTCCGGCTTTTATAGTTTCTGAGATCCTTGCGTTCATCCAGACGGACGGACAGACGGTCGGAGGGACGGACATGTCTAGATCGATTTCTCTCGTCATGCTGATCAAGAATATATATACTTTATGGGGTCGGAGATGCTTCCTTCTGTATGTTACATACTTTGCACAAACCTAATATACCCTGTACCCGGTATAAAAATAAGTGGAAAATCTTAAGTGCGACTTTTAAATACTCTGTACCTATGTGTGTGTATGCGTATCTGTGTGTGAGCATGTGGGAGAGCCAAAGCATATTCCTGGAATAAATTGACCTTTCAAGAAGAAACTGATCAACTGGGGCTTGGACGGACAGAGAGTGCTAAATCGGATTGTGCGGTCTGCCGCATTTGTTTCTGCCTGTTACATTTTCAACCTCTCGCAAGCCTAAAATCCATACGTATACTCTTGTTCGTTTCATGTACAGAGTATAAATAGGTAATGCAACTCTGCAAAAAGCAATGGAGAGGAGAACATCAAGTGCTTTCAATAAATTGGCGTGTGGTTATTGATGACAGCATTTGCATATGGTCTAAATAAATTCAATGAGAGCAATTGAAAATGTCACAGCTATTTAAAGGCTGGACGCATTCACAGACCAGCGGCGAAAGCATTTCGGAACGGAGCAAAGCCCAGAAATATATGGATATGGAATCCACTTGAGCGCAGGAGCGATTCAAATATGCGAATTAATAATTTTATTTTGCTGTCGTCGCTGTTTGGCAAGCACTCGAAAACACCCACTTAATTGTTGTTGGTATTGATCGCACAGTCACAGGTGTCGTTTGTTAAACAAATCAGGGAAGGAATATCAATTGCAACGGCTGTCAATTGTGGCCATGGTGTACAACTGGTGTCAACGCCATGACCTGATATGTGAAATGCTCGCCTGCCATTTATAAATGCTGCTTTAATGCGTGTCATTAGAGTGCAACAAGGCTGCACATCAAGGGCAATCAATTCGATATGCAAGCAATGTCCTTAGTGCGTGTGCGTTGTTATTGCCTTCATGTGCACCTATTGTTGTTGTTGTTGTCATTAGCTCAGTTTCAATTACTGCCTTTTGCATGCGAACACGTGCCCGCAATCAATGCCAAGCGGAGAAGGAGGCAGGAGTTAATTCCTCACACGCTCCTCTGATGACCATGGGGCACAATGGCCTACCTATCTAACCAATCCACAAAGCCATAGACGTACAGGACACCTTGACGGTCTCAAATGAATTTGCATGATATGCATCAAGTCCCCTCCTGATAGGTGAGCCCAAGCTACAAGATTAGGCGACAATGCCCGAAACATGTACTGAGAGCTGGCGCCCAAACTCACATTTGCAACATAAATTATCAAAGTGCTGGTAAATTGTTTGGGCCCCATGCAAAATGGGCACATAATGCCAAATTTATTAGAATGTTGCGTGCTGTCAGGCGATGCATGAAGCATACCTAAGCAGTGCAGTGCCCGTTGCAAAGCCAATCGGCCAGTTATGCCATGGCGGAGTACACTTACACAAGGACTTTCGAGAAGAGAGTTAATGTAGTAGTGAAATGCGTTTTTGAGTCGGAAAGAATAGCTCCAAATGTGCTGCTTGAAGTTATTCACAACAAACATAAAGTTCTGCTGAACAGCTATAAGGGCATTATCCTGCTGGGGATCAACATCAAACTGCATCTCTTAGCCGTCAAAATGATCGGCGGATCTTTAATCCGACAGCGAAGTTTTAATCCATAATAGTAGGACGCGCCGTCTTCAAAAGCTTGTAACTCCTTTGAGAACATAATAAAAAGCTGCTCTTCTACAAAAGAAACTAGTGAGCTCGACTATAAAATTCTCTCATTATTTTATTTATTTTTAGACAAATGAAAGTCGTAGCATTATGGTATACTATCCTAAACTTATATGTGAAGCGTTGCTTTATAAGAAACCCTAAGCAGTTGTGAAATATACAGCAGGAGGTTGCAAATTGTGGCTAAAATAGTGAAGAAAAATCATTCACATACTATTCAATGCGTTGCCTCGTGCTTTTAGTGCTTATGATGATAGCAATATAGAAGGCAAATCCTTATTTTCGTTTTCTTTTCAACACAATGCTGGTACTATTACTACTATTACTATTCTTCTGAACAAGTCATTTCCATTATGTTGTCGTTAAAAAATCTACTTGCCCAATAAATAAAATACAATTTTTAAGAGGCTTAATACAAATATTAAAACAAGAAAGGAATGCTAAAGTAGAGCAGGCTCATCTCTTAAATACCCAGTACAATTTAATTAATTAATGAAATTAAATATAAAATATCCCATACATGCATACATACATTTACATCAGAATCAAGCTATAACTCGACTCGGCTTGTCCTCCTCACCAAGAATATATATACTTTGTGGGGTCTGCCACGCCTCCTTCTGTGTGTTACATACATTCGCAGTAAACTAGTATACCTTTTTACCCTTTGGGTACAGGGTATACAAAATGAAAGCTTATAAATTTACAACTATAATATATGTTAGGTCTAAAACAATAACGACCCTGGCACAAAGACCAAAGTCTGCCAAGTCGGTAAGAATCACAATAAAATTGAAGACAACCAATGAAGCTTTTATGTAGCAGTGTACCGTTTCCTTTATGTGTCGCATGCAAATGAGGTCACGGCAGCAACTATGGTGCTAAAGACAAGCCAGCACCAATGGTTCCGCCCCCTTCTCGTTGCCTTTGTGATAATGCCACGCCCCCTCGTTTGTCGTTCACCTTGTGAGTTGAGTTTCGATTAAATGCATCATTGCCTTGCATTTCAAGTGCCACCAGCCACCAGCCTCAGCACAGAAAGGTGCAGCTCTAGTCGTGCCCAGCGGGCTGCTTTAGTTTCGTGCACCTTGTCAAATGGCAGCCATGCAAGTGGCGTTCCCGTTCGTTGTCCCTACCCTTCCAGCACCTTCTCGCCCCTTCCCTCCCTGCAATGCACCACAGAAGAATACCGTGCGCTTGTACGGCAGTTTTGTGACATTCCCGCGTCGTCATGTGCCTTGCTAACAATCTTGTACTTGAACGCGTACTCGAGTCTAACTATTCATGTTGTTGTTAGTGTTGCTGTTGTTGTCATTGCCATTTTTCCGATGTCCTCGAATGCGCGTTACGAACTTTACGGCATTGCGGTGGGATAAAGCAGCTGAAGGCTTTGCCTAAAACTTTGAAAAGTGATTTAGACGCACATCCGGTGGAAACGCAAGGTTTCCAAAATTCCAAATTGGGATTAAAAACTGCATTATATTTGTGAACGGAATTGGGTTAAAAGTGCATTTCCTATATGAATAACGGAATGATAAGGGAAGTCACGATCAGCTGTGATACAAGATTCAAGATGATTTTGAATCGGAAACATCGTCCCAAGGCAGACTTTACTCGAAAAAAAAAATGGGAGGTTTCTACAGTTGTTTGCAACAGAGAGCAATTGCATTTACAACCCCCCTTAGAAATTTCCTTCTGGCCTCTTGTATGGAAGAAGATACATAGTATATGCTAAGTATTTGGCTTCAATCCGATATTCGAAAAGGGTCCCAGTTTTCGGCCTCATCTGAAAGCTAAGGTAGAACATGAGAGAACTCTACAGTCGAGAAAGCCCGACGGTGAAATACACTGTACCCAGCCAGAGTTCCAGCACTGAAACCGAATTTGATGCTGCAGCTTGTGGGCATAGGTACCGGAGTGAAATTGTTTCGCTTATTTTTTTTAGAATTTACCGATTTGGATGACATTTGGAACAAACGTAGATAATTATACTCTGTACATGAAATATACAGGAGTATATTAGGTTTGCGGAAGGCAAACCCCACAAAGTATATATATTCTTGATCAGCGTGACAAGACGAGTCGATCTAGCCATGTCTGTCTGTCTGCCCGTCTGTCAGCCTATCCGTGTGTCCGTCCGTATGAACACCTGCATCTCAGAGACTATAAGAGCTAGAGACACCAAATTTTACACAAAGATGCCTTATTTGTGTACGCTATACGAGTTTGTTTTATTTTTTGGATTCCCCCCCCCCCTTTCCTATGGGGACTTTCCCGATTTTCCATTCGTATAATCGCCTATATCTCGGAGACTATAAAACCTAGGGACACCAAATTTTAGTCCCAGATGCCTTATGTGAATTCGCAGAAAATGTGTATTTTGGAATTTCTCTCCCTCCCCCCTCTCCCCCGCAAATCGTAACTCCCGTAATTCTTGGAATTTTTCATTGAAATTCGGAAAATACCTCCTGTTAGTGATTATGAGTCTGTGTGTCGTTTCATAATGATAGGCCGATTTAACAGGAAGTTATAGCCATATATGTGTATATGACCAAGCAGTGACCGCAGCTGTTGTTGTTGTTACTGCTTTGCATAGCCACACATACACGCCTAGATACGCATATTTATACTACACATATGTACAGAGTATTTCAAGGTCAGGATACCCGACTTTAGCTTCTCTACTTGTTGTATATAGATTACGTGTGCAAAGTGTAGCTTTGTGGACAATATTGACGAAATTCTGTAGCGGGGAAGGGGGGGAATTCAATTCAATTCGCGGATCACGTTTCAAACTCGTATTATGTCGGTACTATTTGGTATGCATATATGTAAGATGCACAAGAAAGCACCCTTCTGAAGGACTTGTTTATATTCCTAATAGGCATGACCAGAAAAACCGTTGGAAATTACTGAATCGAAATTAACCAAAGCTCTACGTCGAAACGGTTCTATTTATTAAAATTGTTTTGAGTACAGTGTAAAATGCATCACGCGATAGATGAGTAAGATAATAATAAAGCCCATATCAGAAATTGCAGACAAATAACAAAGCAGGATCCATGTATACACGTATACAGGAATAACATTTTTCTTGTATTTTGTTCGACACTGACGACGTTTACTTAAAAACACTTCTTTTAAATTTAGAAAGAAACAGGCTGATAGGAAATCCATCTTTGAATAGGTTTGTAGGAATGCGTTCAATTGCAGACAGACCAGAAGCAATGACCAATATATTATACTACATAAGAGTATATAATCTTAGCTTTTCCCTGTTAAAAACCAAATGCCTGTAATCTCGCTTTCAACAAAGAGCGCTGCCGGCAGAAGTATTCTTCTGATGCGCCGTCAATGACAGTTGTATGCAACATTTCCTTTTAGTATTTGTTGATTAGCGCAATGCACAAAGGCTGAGAAGCGGCTGCAGGCTGACAGAATGGAAGACTGACAGGCTATCTTGGCAAGCGTCGGCTTGGCCCAAATAAATCATTGCCAGAACAAACACAAAGCTTTGGCAATGTCTTGCGTCTTTTCTTTGGAAAATGCCTCGTTGATTTTTAATAATGCAAGCCCCCGTACGGGTACAACACAGACATAGATACAGATACAGATAGAATTGAGGCAGCGGCGAAATTAGAGCGCGCTGGCAAATTGAAAGCAAATGAAATTCAACTCAATTGCAGTTGCGCCTTAGTTCTATTGACTTTGCGCATAACTAAAGCAATTACCCGCCGGGCACACCCATCCCTCCCCGCCCCCTCCCCAGCGCACATACAATCACATATATATCCGACATAATTAGAAATGGAGCCCCTGCCCACGGTTCTCATTCCGTGCCGTACTCACATTTCTATGCTCGTTGCGTTCAGATGCATTTGCAGTTTCCGTCTGGCCATGTCCTTCCGCTACATTTTCAGTTAATTGCTTCGGTTGTACGAAAAAAAGTCTTTTGTTCCTATGTCGAAATTGTTGTTGTTGCTGTTGTTGCTGCTTCTGCAGTAGTTGTTGGCTGCAACGAGACGGAGACGGAGACAGAGATAGAGTGGATGAGTGTGCTGTGAGACTGAAATATGACACATAAAACAGTCAGGCTGTGTATTATTTGTTGCTTCTTTTCTGTTGCACGCTTGGGAGCGACATTTGTGCAACTGTCACAAAAATAGTTTCATCTGCCTGCACGGTTTCTGCTCCAGCTGCGACGACCAAGCTCGATCAAGTCAAGTATACAATATGTATGGAAATGCTGAAGCGGGGCCACAAACGCAAAACAAAATATAAATGGTTTTGACTTTGTTGCATTCTCTGCTTCTGTCCATCAATCCCCTGGTACCTAAGATTTGACAAATTTGTTATGCATTGTTTGTCGACTATATAGTAGCGTGGTTGCGCAAAATGCTTCTTTCAGCCATTATTAACGACGCCTTTTAACCCGACTAGGATGAGTATTAGGGAGCACTTGCAAATTCAGTCCTTATGAATGTTTTAATATAAATTTTCGAAATTTTAAATATTATTATGTACATGTAATTTTCTCTTGAAACAATCTTCTTTGAAAAGTGGAAGGGCATATATTATTGGTGTGTAAACAATCCATTAAGGATGAATAGTAGAGCGCATGTTATATTTGTTTAATGAGTAAGATGAGAAGAAAGCAGCTCGTCTTTATATTTTAATCACTACACACAGTTTTAGAACTACATGCGCCCCCTGGTGGCGCTATCTATATGTCGACTGGTGCGTTAGAATCTGCTATCTTTATCGATTGTCTAATGAGAATTTCATGACATTTCATCGATTGGAAGTGAAGTTATTGCGTTTTAAGTGCCAGTATGTTTGTGTTAGGGACAGCTGGATCTCAGAGACTCAGAGATCTCAGAGACTCAGAGCTAGAGACACCAAATTTTGCACAAAAATGCCTTATGTGTGTACGCTGTGCAAGTTTGTTTTATGTTTTTGAATTTCCCTCCCATTTCCCTTCTTTGGGGGATTTTCGGAAACGCCGTACGTTTAATCACCTATGTATATCTCCCAGACTAAAAGACCTAAGAGCAACAAATTTTATTCCAAGATGCCAAGATGTGAATACGCAGAAAATGCGTATTTTGGAATTTCCCTCCCTCCCCCCTCTCCGTCGCAATCCGTGATTTTTCATAACTCCCGTAACTCTCCGAATTTTGAACTTTAATTTATAAATAAATATAAACAAGAAAGGAATGCTAAAGTCGAGCAGGCTCAACTCTTAAATACCCTGTACCACCCTACAAAAAAGTAATTAAATTAAATAATTAATTTAATTAAATTAATTAACTAAATTAATTTAATTAATTAACTAAATTAAATATAAAATATTCCATGCATGCATACATACATTTACATCAGAGGGGGGGAGTGGGGGGGTGGATCAGAAAAAATGAACAAACTCGTCCTTTCTTGGTCTCAGGAGAATCTGTATACCAAGTTTGGTTATTCTCGCTCTTATACTTTCGGAGATCATTGCGTGCATGCAGACAGACAGACGGACAGACAAGCGGACATGGCTATATCGACTCGGCTTGTCATGCTGATCAAGAATATATATACTTTGTGGGGTCTAAAAAGCCTCCTTCTGTGTGTTCCATGTGCACTCGCACAAAACTAATATACCCTTGTACCCTTTGGGTACAGGGTATAAAAATACACCCAGTTAGTGATTATGTGTCCGCATGTCAATTTTCATAGATAGACCGGTTTATCAGGAAGTTATAGCCATAAATATATTCGCTGCCCAAGCGCTGCCTGCAGCTGTTGTCGATGCTGGTGGTTTGGTTGACTGCAAACATGCTCCCACACACACGAATAGATACGCATAGACGTGCATACACTCACATAAATGTGCAATTATACACCCTTTAAGTGAGTACGAATACCGAGTGTTTCGACGTCGGGACCCTTTAGCTTTAGCTTCTCTACTTGTTTTAATAATCACATTGCGTAATGCATATTTATATATATTTATTTATATAAAACATTTTTATTAGAAAGTAATTTTCAAATTCTTTTATTATTATAATAATATCGCGTAATATAATTATAGCGTAGATCAATATTGATATTTTAAAAGTGAGGAATAGCTGGTAGAACCTACTTACTTGACACATACCTAACGACCACGTATATCAAGGGGTTACACTTGGTATTTATACCACACAACTGCTGAAAACTTACTTAGGAATTGTAGCGAAATGTTGTCTCTATTTTACATTTGGAAATACTCGAATTAACTATTAAAAATATTAAAATGTAATATATTTCTAGTATATTTCAATCAACTACAAAAACTTCCATTTAAAGTTAAGAAAAATATTCAATTTTATTATGAAATAAAATAAATTTGTTACTTGAAGTGAGCGCAAATTAAAACTAAATTAAACATGACACACTTTAAAGACAAATATTTGCACTTAGTTTTGAATAGTATACATATTTAAATCAATAGTTTAATATATTATTAGTTATATTTACTTGGTTTAATTTGATTTTAATACTAAATATAGCATTGAATTGAATGTGAAAATATTTATTTTTAATATGCAGCGAGACTTTTATTAGGCGGAAATAGAAAATATGTTGGATTCATCTTATTATACTGATAAGGAAATACTAGGTCCACACTTGTTCTTTGAACTGTCTAGATTTATACATACATACATAGTATTTTTTAGGGCTATTTAACAATATTGTTCCTGCTAAGCGTAGTCACGACTCCAACATATTTTGATTTGCAACAGCTATTTGATGGTGCATAAGGACATAACTACCGGACATATGTAGTATATGCCATGTGACTTAGTTAGACGTTTTCTATTATGCGAAGCACGTACATCCATAATTTCCGTCACTTACCGAATGGGCAAGGGCTATGCAAATGATGTGTATGTGTGTGTGGACGCACTGATTTCCGAAGAAATGTGTCCAACACAAATAGTCACAACTTGGCGTAGCATTAAAATGAATCACGCATCAATGAAATTAATTGGAAAAGTATAGACCAGATCGGACACACATAAGGCAATGTTAACTAAATGAAGCGAGTGTGCTCGTATCAATCATAACAATACCAAAGGCCACAAATGGCACACACACACACACGACTAAATTACAACCAATTTTTATTGCTGCGAAAACAAAGGCGCAGCATATTATCAGAGAAACAACAAGAGTCATTGATGGAACAAAGCACGGCGGCTAAAATCGAAACAAAATGGCACCGACAGCAGCAGCAGGCGATGCTGCCAAGCACACGTTTCACTGACAATAAATGATAAAACATAAATTCGCACACACCTACCTACACGCATCCCTATACGCTTCCACACAGACACTTGCGCACACGTCACATCGTTAAAAGTCAATTGTAAACTTCTGCGCCTATAAGCGGGCAACAGAGAACGACCAATCATCAATAAAAACTTGCGATGCGCTTACGAGCACTATTATATATATCTGGATATGATTTAAATGCTTAAGACACCCAAAACTGGCATGATTTGTGAGGCGTGGAATATGGTAACAATTCGAACCCTTAGATATACCAGAAATATATTCTGTTTATGATTTGTCAAGAAGCTTTGAATATACTCGTATATTGTGGAACCTATCTGGAAAGACATGCTTTACAAGTTGTGTGTTATATCGAAAGAGTGAAGTAAAAAAATAGATGTCTATGAATTTCATTATCAATGCTCACGATGTTTTAGACGTAAATAATTCGTTTACATAATTTCGTTCTTCTTATTTTTTCACTTTCTAGCTCAAAATATTAAAATTTAAGCAGGATGTTTTTTGGCACCCTTTTATTTTAAAGTTTATAAGGTTATCAAACCGATATAGCCGACCAATCCTCTTTTAAATTCAGAAAGTGTATTTTAATACTTTTCGATTGATACATCGACTGTCTCGAAAGGTGAAGTCAAGCGCGGTTATATTATGTATCGTGTGCTAAAGATTTTGTCACTACATGAAGAAACTATTTCTTATTTCAAACGTATATATTGTGAGGTGTGCAAAGTAAATATTATTTGAAAACCTGGTCTTTTCGCAGACGTTTAGTACTTAGTGAAGTTCTTTATTGAAATTAAAAATAAGGTTAGCACAGGTACGCAAAGTACTTATATTATTATATGTCAAACACAACAACATCAAATATATAATCAATTTCTGTCAATAAAAGAATCAAATTTTGATCGAAAGATTTCGATATTTCTCCCATTGTGAGGAGCAGACAATGCTGAACGTGTTTTGTGACTGCCTGCGATGTTCGAATTATAATGCAAAGGCCTAATGCCGCCTTATCAGTAGCATTTAAATCAGCGCATAAAGGAACAGCCGAGGGACAACAAAACTCGCACACACACACACTCACGCACCTCGCGAAGTAGCTACTGCTGCTGCAGCAAAAGAAACCACTGAAGCGGCAGCAGGATAAAAGTTACATTGACATTGCCAATAAGCGCCAATAGTCTCATACTCACACACACACACAATCACGAAGGGATGCTCTTTTAAGCTTTGAGTGAATTGAGAGCGCCTGCGCTCTCTGCTCTCCGCTCACACACCAACGAATAAGAGACACAAAGCGCAGCAAGCAAAAACCTCTCGCTACCTGCATATGTATATGTGGGTTTGCTTCGCCCTTTTCATTTCGACATTTCATTTGAGTCGCCAAAAAATAATTCACACACTCGCAACGCACACCCATTCTCGCACATATTTGTGCACAATGTTGTAGGCATTGTTTTTACTTCCGTTGCTGGCTGCTCTTCAGCTCTCCAGTGATTTGTCTCTCGGCTCTGCTTGACGCTGTTGTTTACGCCTTGCCGCATATGTCGGTACGAATTTATTTAATTGTAAATTTAGCTGCCAGCCTGGCAGCATAGAGCCTAAGCAAAACAGCGCACAAATGTATGCTATGGTTTTTTGGGCCACATTTCGGCAACATTTTTCATTTGCGCGTTTATTTATTTGAGCTCA